TGGTCATCAAATCTTCACATTTGATGGTCAGCATTACTCCTTCCCAGGAAGCTGCAAGTACATATTGGCTCAAGACAGTGTTGACAATAATTTTACTGTCGTCGCACACCTTAACAATGGCAAGCTTAAATTTATTACATTAACCGATCGTGACGGTGATTTCGCTGAAATTTCAGACTCAGGTGCTTTAAAAATCAATGGTAAAGAAACTGAGTTTCCTCAACATTTTAACGGTATTCATGCTTGGCGATTATTCTACACCATCTGGTTAAATTCGGAATATGGTGTTGAAATTATGTGCACTCAGGATTTGAAGATTTGCAATGTTAAAGTAGATGGTTTCTACACAAGCAAAACGCGTGGTCTCCTAGGCAATGGAAATGCAGAGCCATACGACGACTTAATTCAAGTAGATGGTACTATTGCTCAAGACTATGCTACGCTCGGTAACGACTACGGAATCGGAAAATGCGCACCGATAACTGCAAAACCGGCACATGCAATCGCTCGTTCAGAAATTTGCTCGGAGATATTTAGTTTAGAGTCTCCCTTAACGACAGGCTATATCTTTGAAAATCCCGCACCATATCGCGCGAGGTGTGATGCCGCTGTCACTGAGGCTTCCGAAAAGGAAAAAGAATCCGCTGCATGTCTAATAGCTACTGCTTATGGCTCAGCCTTGAAATTTAAAGAGATTCCAACTCAGTTACCATCTCGTTGCTTGAAATGCGCTGGTGCTACTGGACAACGTGAATTAGGCCAGGAGTTCACTGTTAAAATACCAAACAGTAAGGCCGATATTGTTTTCGTTGTCGGACCTTGACAGTTAATTTGACTGTGCTTCGCAACTTGGTTGCCGTCTGCAATATTGGAGGTACTGACTCACTAAAAACACGTGGTTTCAACTGATTGCAAGATAGGAGTTAATTGCTTATAATGAGTCTCACTTTATCCAGCTGTGTTAACTAGTGACGGTGGAAAAATTAATTATCAAGGCAATTTAGACAATGTTCGACTTAATGGCCGCAAAGAACATTTGCTTTACACTGCGTCTCAAGGAGTGCCGGATCCCGAAGGTTGTCGACGCATTGAATCAGACTTCAGAAGTATCGTACCACAATTAGACGAAAAGGCGTTCAGATTAGCACTCAATTATCCATTCCGTGCTGGATCTGCATAGAGTATTGTTGGGGTCCGTAGCAGTACTTTGGACTTTGTCAATTTGGTAAGAATTTATATAAAAATTTACAGATAAAAAATACGACAATAAATAAATTGTTTCGTTTTAATTTTTAGTTCAAATTGGTACGAGCTCACTTAACCGATGCAGCCACAAATTTTAATGGGGCTTTGTTACACCTGATCGGTCCAGTTAATGACCAATCTGTGGAACACATTCCAAAAGAGAAACTAGTCGGTAAGAAAAATAAACAATTAGTTAACAAAAGTTTTGTGACTTTACGAAACCACGATGAAAGTAAAACATTTTACAAATTGTATTGATACCACGTCTTGAATCTTAACCTATAAACTAGTAGTAGACAAGATACACCAATAAAATAAGAGGAAAAAGTATATTCTGTCCATATCTTAAATTTTTAAATTCAAACTTAGGAAATCAAGGAATGTAGGTGGGTAGGTAGGTAGAGTGGCTGTCTAACGATGCACCTAGGACTATAGGAGGCCCATTGTGATACCACCGGGACTAATGTTCCCTCACTCTATCGTCTCCTCTCTGAAACAACCTGTGCTCCTGATGAAGTTCATCAGAACAAATAACTTTACATTAGAAACTTCTGATACGTCGTCAAGGAATCCACGACCGATAGTTGCGATTTAGTTGCGTGATTTTGTTCCTGTATAGAGCTTTACATTCGCATAGAAGTGCTTACAGTTCCCCTCTTCTTTTACTCTTGACGCATTCACAATATCGTTGTATGGTACACCTAGCCTGCTGCAAGTCTACAAATTAGACATGACCTGGTTAGTACTCCTTATCAGAGTTCTATATCATTGCTTTTAAATTAGTAGAAGTTGTGCCCGACTCATGCTCCATTTCCTGAAACGTTCTAGTCGCTGGTTGAGCAGCGTACTATTGTATCCAAATGATTGTCTTATTGGATTGTCTGGAACGGAAAGCGATGTTGGTGTCTAATGTTACGCAAAAAGACAACCATTCCCACTCGATATCCAGTTTGGGATCCACCCTTTGTAGATGCTAATTCCTGTATTCCTGCCGCCTCGTGCCCTTCTCACCCTCTGTGGGGAAGGCAATATTGTGGACCGAATTTAGTTTCATTCTATGATGCGGAAATCCTGGGATTGGGTAGGAACGGGAATATACTGAGTATCCATAGAATGTATCTGTTGCATGCGATAGTTGGAGGATTCCCCAGTCTAAAAGCTGATTTGCGGCCACTTGCTACAGAAACAGCGTGTTGGTAGTAAATTAGAATGAATAGAAGCCTGGCTTGCCGTTGTTATCAAGATTCCACTAATGCATATTACTGTATCTGTATACTTTTCCTACGCTTACCGCGTATTTCTTTTCCATTATTGGCCACCATCCAATATACCGTATGTTCATGATTGTCTCGACAAACTCTGTATAGAGCCAATAAGTTACCCGAGGGCGTTAGCCGCCATCTTGGCCAAGTGTAGAGTGCTGTGGCTGCGAGCATTCCAAGTTTTGTTTCCATGAACGCTTCCTGTCTATTTATTCCCAGGTAGCTTGCTAATCTCCAAATTGTTAGTCTGCAACCATATTAATGGCGCGTAACTTCTGGAGCCATATGTTTCGGTAAACAATGCTACTCTGTCTTACCAGCCATTTTAGTTTAAATCCCAGCGCTACTGGTTTGCGAGAGTATTCGGGAATTTGCACTCTGACCGTACTGCACATCGTCAGCGTAAGCGCACAACACGTTACCCCCTCTTTTCTAGATTCAACATCAACTTATTCATTTGTCACGATCCCAGAGAAGTGTAACACGGCCTCCTTGAGGGGGGGGGGGGGGGGGGGGGGGGGGCTGTACCTCTTGACAGATCTGCACATCGCTTGACGCTCCCAGCCTTGAAATATTTAACACTGCTCGTGAGCAATTCTGTTCATTAATTTTCTGAAGGTTCAGAGATGTCCAGATCCTTAAGCGCACCTCAGTATGCCCTACGCTGGATATTATTGAAGATCCTCTATATCTAAGAAGGCAAAGTAGAATGTATTCTTTAACTTCCAGAGATTTTTCAATGCTCCGCCACCCCAGAGGCTGAGTGCTGTTCTGTGGATTTTCCTTTAGAATACGCATGCTGCGAACTAGCCAACTTTTCTGGTTCAGTTTGTTATCTTTATTAATTCTTTAGTCTTTCCAGCGTTTTTAGAAGGAATGAGGAGAGGCTATTGCCTGAAGTCCTGCTTGTAGCAAGCTTTTGCCTGCCTTTGTATGTATATTACCTTGAACTTCCCTCAAAGCGAAGGTATATAGTTTAATTGCAGCGCCCCCTTAAGAATAGCAATTAGCCAATTCATTATGTATTCTGTGACTGCTTGCAATTGAGCCGGAAATAGACGTCTACCCGCGACTTAAAGGCTAAAACTACTTTATGCCCAGCGTACGTTGCTTTATGACACTATGTTTATAAGAGTGGAGTGCCCCATTTCTGCTCAAACTGTCTTGGTATATCGCAGTAATAGCTTTTAGAGCTGCCTGGAAGTAAGTATCATTAGGTAGCCCCAGGGCACTCTTCACTGGATACCGTCCAACTTCGCTCTGGCTTCTTGAAGATAACTGATACTTGCACCGATTGTCCATTCATTCTCCTAAGTCGAGACGCTTCCGCCGTGTTCTCGATATCATACAAAAAGATTTCCAGAATTTCTTTTGGTCTCCTAACTTTCTTTGTATGACCAAGGAGTTTTAATAATATAACCAGTCTGACTCGCCTCTTGGGATGCTGTAGCTAAATTGAACTGCTATTCCGATTCTTCGATCTTTTTAAGTTCTAGAGACCACCAAGGAGCCTTATTCTACCCCTACTTCGTGTTATTGGACAAGCCACTTCTAATGCTGCCGGCACGATTCCGTGAGTCGATTAACGAGGATATCTAGATCCTCCTTGCTATTGGGCTGAAACGGTAGAATCATAGGGATACGTTTTTCCAGCTCTTGCATGTGCACCTGCCAGTTCGTTTTCCTATGATTCCTAAAGTTAATGCCTCTATCGGCCCTTTCCTCTATTGTACATTCAATATATCGATGATCCGAAAAGCAATGTTCTTCGAGAACCCTCCATTGGGTTACCCTGTCAATTAGTTCTTCCGACACAAGTGTGATATCCAGCACTTCTTGTCGGTTTCTTGTA